GGCGCAGGATTACAGGCTGAGCCACCGAGCCCGGCTAACTCTTGTGATCTTAATGCATCTTAGTAAGCCCAGTTGTAAAATTGCTAGAATTCTGCATAATAAAAGTAAAATAAGTACTGAAAAAAATACAATCTAAAATTATAGTTTTTATTCTCTTTAGGAATGAAAAAGCCCAAGCAGGTCTTAGACCTCCCCAGCAACAGCAAAATTCTGTTAAGTGCAGGAATATTATGTGAATTTGGCATATTCAAAATATTGTTAGCAAAAGTATAAACATATTAGGGTTAGTGCAATCAGTCATTCCAGATAAGTCATATTCCTGCTAAATTTGTAAGCCATTGAAAACTTATTCAGATTTGTAACAAAAAGTGTGTACATTTTTTCATCTCTCTCTTTCTGGCCTCTTGTTCATTCTTCTCTGTCTCTCTCTTGTCTGCCTCTCACTCTCTTTCCCTTCTCTCTCTTACCTTCTCTCCTTTGTCTTCCTACCCCTCCATCTTTTCTCCTTTCTCTACTTTTTCCTCTCCTCCTTCCTTCCTGCATCTACATTTTAAAATCTTGTTCACTAAAAATTAAATTGTGTGCATTGGAAGTTCTACAATTATTAGATATAGCTGAACTTTGGCACTATTGGTAATTCGTTAAAATTGGTGAATATTATTTCATTTTATTTCAGATATCTTCTAATTTCATATATTATTTAAAATTCTAAGAAGTTATTTTTTTACTTGGTCAAAAGTGAACTGAGAAAACACAATTTTGCCTTTTAGCATTATTTTCCATTTCCAGAATGGAGATCTCATAGTGCATCCATCACACAATGTATAAGAGCAGTCAGTTTTCCCAAATTTTTCAACAGAGTTTTATCAGCTACCCAGCATTGCCTTTAAAAAAAATAGTTGGGGTCTCACTCTTTCACCGAGATTGAGTACAGTGACATGGTTACAGCCCATTGCAGCCGCGAACTCCTGGACTAAAGGCGATCCTCCCACATAAACCTCATAAACAGTTGGGACTACAGGTATGCACCACCACGCTTTGCAGTTTTTTTTTTTTACTTGTTTTTGGTAGAGACAAGGTCTCACTATGTTGACCAGGCTGGTCTCAAACTCCTGGGCTCAAGCAAGACTCCTTCCTTGGTCTCCCAATGTGCTGGGATTAAGACGTGAACCACCGGGCCTGGCCAGCTTTGCCTTTTAATATCAATGATGAAGTTAGTGGAAGTGATGTTGAACATTTTCATTTTCCTGAATATTGCTTTCAGAGCATCTCATAAATCTCCTGGTGCTTCAGAGACTATCTATAAGCAGCTTATGAGTCCATTTAATAAACAAAAATATTACACTGCCATAATTACAATCAATATGGCCAAAGTTCTACAGAAAGCAGAAGTCTCTGTCTACCATGTATGAAGATGAATCTCAGCTTTTTTCTAACCATTGCAGGTGATTGTTGGGAAAGTCCTGTAGCAGATGGGGCTACAGTAGGTGTTGCTTTTGCCAAATAAGAGCAGGAGCAACACAGGGCAGAATGCTATCAAGTGGTGCTCCCTACCTCTCCCCAAGGGGCTGGTCTCCATTATCATTGTCTTTTGGTGATTCTGCATCAACAGAACTATACATCTACATGCCTCCTAGAAAAAGGATAGCTCTTCTTTCCTACCTATAAATATTTCAAAAGAAATTATTTTCATGAATTGAAACTTCATAACCTTTTTGTTAATATAGCTCTTATTTCTACCCTCATCCAGTCCCTCATTTAAATTTCACACAAACTAGATGAAGGGAAGAATGCCCTCTCGGGGTCCTAGCACTGTGCTAGGTGCTGCACACATATATTCCATGGGGGAATGGAATAGACAGCTGATGCTCTCAAGGAGCTCATAGTCCAAGACATCATGCATCCGGTATACTGGAGCACAAAGAAAGAACACTCACTCCAGATTTACAGGGAGATGGTGGTAGCGTCAGGGAAGTCTGTTTGCAAGATGGAGCATGTATATGGACACCCAAGTGATGAGTAGGGTTAGCCAAGAGAAGGGGGAAGGAAAAATGTCCAGAAAGAGGAAACAGAACATTCCAATGCTCAGAATAAAGAGAAAGAGTAGATATTCCAGAGGAGCTTCATGTACCTCTATGTGGCAGTTCTATGTGAATTGCAGAGGACATGGGCACAAAGGCAGAGTGGAGGGATTTTATAATAGTCGAGAACTGTTGACCTTTACAATTACCTGTGAATGGTATTAGTCTTATTCATAAATTAAGTGACTAAAGTAAAATTTAAGAAATAAAGAGGTTATTTCACAAAGCATACCTGAATTTCTACTGAATAGTGCAAATATATATATAAGCATATTTGAAAGGAAAAATATGGATTTGCAGATTTAATATAATTGTGAGTCTTATAATTCCTCAGAAATGTTTTTCTATCCTTCTAATGTATGTTTTATGCAAACTATTTTTAAAAGCAGATAAATTAGTGTTTGCATTAGTCAATTTGGTTTTATTACTTTTGCCTCCAGAGCATTTCATGAGTCTGAATTCCTGTTATGAATATGTTTTCAAATAAAAATACTTGGGTTTATTGGTACCAAGAGCTCAATATTACCTTTTTATTACAGATGCAAAGAAGTTAATAAAACTTCCTTGGGAATGCCATTTTGCTATTCTCCAAGACAAAATATAGCTATGATGAGTAAGAAAGAAAAACAGTATTTGAAGATAAATATTAACGCAAAAAACAAAAATTTTGAACTTTTTATAATAATACTTTTGAACTTCTTATAGTTAAAATGTATGTTATCTTCTATGTAGAGACTATTTAGAAAAATATTTTAAAATTATTGTTATGAAAGTTGACATATTTGTTACTTATTTGAGTAAGAAAGAGGTTATGATCTGGAGGAGACCCTCAGGGGTTTCTGGGGACAGGTAATGTTCCTTTCCTTGGCCTGCACAGTGATCGTGCAGCTGGCCACTTTATAGCTAGTTTATAACTTTACATATTTGCAGTTTTGATAATTGCATATTTAGTTTTTTGTTTGTATGTTAGATATCAAAATAAAAATGTAAAAAAAAAAAACTTTTAACAAGAAAACATACTTTATTATATTCACCCAACAAGAAGTCTTATGTTTTCTACTTAATCAGACGTAACAGGAAATTTATTAAATGATTCTTAAACATATACTCTCTGTTTAATTTTAGCATTATATTGGCCTACAATTATATGTATAAATTTTTATAAATTTTATTTTATTTTAGAGATGTGGGGTACAAG